TACAGAATACTCTTTAACAAATCCCTGCTTAAACTGGCCACAGTAGATTCTTTAGTTTGAAACTAAAAACTGTGACCACACATGAAGACAAGTTTAGAAGCAGATCTATTTTCATGAATTTTGCTTTCAGTATAATGATTGAAGGCCTTCATCCTAGCTGGGAAATTTTCTCTATTTGTTGATAATTGCTTCTCTGCTATGTGCTCTCCTTCAGAAATTTTCTATTTATATTAACACACATATACAAAAACAAATATAACTATACATATGTATATATGGTATATATAACTACATACACATATATACAGCATATAATTATATACATATTTATATGTACACAGACAAATAAAACTATATATCACATACTACATATATGCTATATGTATATATATACATACTTACATACTATATATAATTATATAAACATATAATTATGAGTTTGTGTATAATGTTCTCAACCCCATGTCCTCCAATCTATTATCATTTTAGTCATCATTTTCATGTCTTTAGTATTTTCCACTAAGTTCTGGGAAAATACCTATAATTTCTACTTAAATTATCAGCCTATTAATTTTACATTGCCTCCATTGCCGTTATAAATTCAGAGATCCTATTAATCTCTTAGTAATTTTTTCTGATGTCATATTGTTCCTCTTTCCAACTCCCTATTTTATTTTCACAGATATATTTGCTATCAGTTAGGATAGCTTAGGTCACACTGTGCTGGAAAAACACATCCTAAATCTCACTGAATTAAGACAACAAAGTTTATTTCTTACTTATTCGACCTATCCAATGCAGGTGAGAAAGGAAGTTTATCTCCCTTTGGTCATTTCAGGTTCTATTTCCACAATTTCCAAGTCAGAAAAAGGGCAAAGCACTGACTCTTACAGCTTTGGCTCAAAAGTGACATACATCACATTCACACACATACAATGACCCAAATAAGACCCATGAAGGTCTTCAACTTCAAAGAGGGCAGGAAAATGCAATCCTATTGTGTTTCTCAGGGTGGAGAAGGCCAAACATATTTGGTGAATAGCAGTAATACTTCCATAGCACATAGTGTTCTTGTGAATCACCTTGATAACAGGAATTAGAGATGTTCTAAGTGGCTCTTACATTTTTGATGTAAATCTCCCTGCTTCAGTGAGGGCCCTTTACTTGGATACATCTGATTTGTCATTCTTAGCAGAACTTCCAACTTGAAATCATATATTTCAAAACTTTCTGGGTGCTTATTATACAGAGAAAGATATTTTTCCATATTGAGAGCTGAAATGGGTCTGTTAGAAATTTTTCAAATTTTAAGCCTCTTGAAAGGTCCCAATAAGATAAAGATTTGTCCCTTGATGCCTGGCCTCAGGCCTTCACTTCTTCCAATCTAGTCTCATCTAGAAGGAATGATTCTTTTTTTTTTTTTTTTTCCCTGTATTTGGAATGAGCAGTTATTTCCTCATTAATAGATTCTTTGGGTCATTTCATTGGGAATTAGCCAAGAAAAGGGAAGTTAAATGAGTGTGCTCAAACCATATCTTGAACTATAACATTTCCTAAATTGCTGATTTTGGATATTAGGTCAACTATTAATTCAGCTAACCAAGACACAACCAGGGAGACATCTGCCCTTTCCCTCACACCCAATTCATCACCAAAGCTTGCCAAGTTTGCCTCCTAAATATCTTGCAAAAGAACAGAGCTCTTGAAGGAAGAATTAATATCAAACTCAATTTATATCAATTTGACACCTCCAGGGGAAATGTTATATGTAACATTAAATAAGCAAAATCTTGATAGCTAATCATTTTGATAAGGCTGCATTCAAGGGAAACCAATAACCTTTCTTATTCTTTTCAGCAAACGAAGCCCTAAATGTTCTTGATTAATAAGGAAAGAGGTTAGTGTTCAGCTTGCACAGTAAGCACTCAAGAAATACTTGAATTTGACAGAGCCCAAAAACAGAAAAACTAAGTAAAAACATTCATGGGGACTGTCACCAAGTTGAGTACGATATGACCAGGCTGCTGTGGTCATACTTGCAATCAATATAGGAAGGCACTGACTGACTGCAACTTAATGAGGAATGCAGACTGCAGAAAGCTAGAAAGAAGGTTCTAAAAAATAAATCCTAAAGATCTCCACGTCGCCAATGTATAACGAAAACTTTCCACTGGTTTCTAGCACTATGGTAACTAAGGAAAAGTTACAAGTGATATATTTAATAAGGACATTTTTTGTAATGTTCTTATAATGGATTTCCATTGGTAGACCTTGAATTTCAGATACTGATTTCATATGTAGTAAAACGCCTTGTTGATGAAACATCTTATGATTAAGATGAATTATCCTGTAGAAACTTGTGCATTCCCATCCTTGCAAATGGTTTATTGTGACTAAAAGCAGAGTATTTTATTCATGAAGAATAAAAAGTCCTATCCCTATAATAACATCTAACCTTGTCATGCAAATAAAGGTGTCTTGTAAAAATTATCCTTCCATCGAAGATTCTTGCAGATTTATTTTATAAATATACCAATAGTCAATTGAATCCTGATTTCTGTTTGTAGGTATCAGCTTTAGGAAGGCTAAACATTAATGTGGAATGACAGCATTCAACTGAAACCTCACATACACTCTTTCATATCAAATAGACTTTGAATTTCTTATTTAAAACCTATAAAAAGCCAAGTAGAAAGCCACTAAGATACAGTTATAATAACAACCTCAAATTATAAATCCAAAGTAACCTACAAAACTTGCTTTAAATATTGGTTCCTGAGGGACAGAGGTAGGCAGGAGTATGTGGCTACAAAAGGACAACACGAGGGATGCTTGTGGTGATGGAAATAGTCTGTAGTTTGACTGTGGTGATGGATACACGAACCTGTACGTGTGATAAAAGTGTTTAGAACTAAATACACACACACTCACACACACACACACACACGGGTAAAGTAAAACTGGGAAAACCCAATAAGACCAGTGGATTGCATTGATGTCAACATCCTGGTTTTGATATTGCATGGTAGTACTACAAGATATTACCTATGGGGAAATTGAATAAATGATACAGGGGATCTCTTTGTATTATTTCTTACAACTGCATGCAACTCTACAATGATCTCAAAATAAAAAGTAAAAAATAAAGGTTCCTCTACTTTTTTCGAAAGTCCATGTTTTAAAATCATCCAAATGTAAACAATTCCTCTGTTATTTTTCTTCCTTTGTGAGAGTAATCTACATAATTACAAACCTATCCCTAGAAGCTGTGGGGGATCAGAATTGGCCACCCCCAAATATGTCTCTTTACCTTGATTATTTTCTCTGAAAGAAACTTTGACCTCCCCCCTGCCCCCCACTAACTACCTAAAAGAATTTTAAGACAGAAGGCCTCTCCTGGGGATATCTGTGGGGATAACCCACACCCATAGATAACTCTGGGTATAGATAGCCTGAGAGTGTCCTTGCTAAGCCCATTCTTACCAAAGCTCTGAAAACCAAGTAAAAGTAAAGTTACTCTTTGTAAGAAACATTTACCTTCATAAGGGAAATCTCCATTTGTAAAGGTATCTCCTTCTCTACACAGTGAAGAAGGGGGGATGACCTTATCTCTAGAAACTCTTATCCATGCGGAAGGCGAGGACTTAAATCTGCATACTTTTGTTTACTGTGCTTTTCTGGTAATCTCTCATAGCTGACTCTCCCCACCCCCAACATCCTCCTTTATCTTTATCTGAATATGCTATTTAGGATGAGAACCTTCGCCATTTTGTCGAGTTACTCAGTTTCCCTGGTCTCTCCTATGTATACATGTTATAAAGCTTTGTTTGATTTTCTCCTGCTATTCGGTCTCATGTCAAGTTAATTTGTAGCCCAGCCAGAAAGGACCCAGAGTGGGTAGAGGATAGTCTTCCTTCCCTTCAAAGCCAAGCCCAGAGCCCATAGCGTGGATGTCACCTAAGGAAGCATTTAGGTAGAGATTTAATAGAGTGCAATTCAGGTAAGAGTATGGGAGAAGGGGTATACATATTGCTAAAAGAAGAAATGATGCTTTTAAACAACTGTATAAATCATTTGAGTTTCTTAAAACTCAACCTAAAACATCACTTATAGATGCACTGACTTTCTGTTTATATTCACAACAAAAATTGTCGATCTGCCTTTTGTTTTGCTATTATCGTAATTAACCTTCCTAATAAACTTTCTAAAAATAGAAGCACTAAAGGTCTAAAAAGTACATTGTTTCAGGGGCTGGTCCAGTGGTGTAGTGGTTAAGTTCGTGTGCTCTGCTTTGGCGGCCCAGAGTTCACTGGTTTGGATCCCAGGCACAGACCTATGAACTGCTCATCACCCATGCTGTGGTGGCGTCCCAATAAAGTAGAAGATGATGGGAATGGATGTTAGGCCAGGGCCAGTCTTCCTCAGCAAAAAGACGAGGATTGGCAACAGAGTTAGCTCAGGGCTAATCTTCCTCACACACACACACACAAATACATTGTTTCAATACATAGCAATAGTGCTAATTATAAGACCATTCTAAGAATTTGATAGGCCTTAAGTATATTTGTATTTGACAATCTTCTCTACTACCAAACATAATGAAATGTATGCACATGTCACATTCAATATAATTAATATGAAGACACAAATATTGAGATGCAGTTGACTAACTGACACAATGTTTGGTTTTGGAAATATTTAATTAGACAGTTATTAATTTCAATTTTGCAATTTTCTTTTTGTATTTTATGGCCAATAATTTTTGAAGGGAAAGGAAAAGGGGTCTCAGTAATTTTCAGAGTACTGAAAGCTCATATGCCCCACATACTGTGCATATAAACTATAATGAAAAAAATAGTCCTGACTGATGTAGCATCGTTAAACAGCATAATTCACTTTAAGAAGGTGGAATAAGGTGGTACACTAGGGAAATTAGTGTAATTAATTGCTTTCCCAAAGCAACAGTGTTGCTCTTTTAAGGTACAGTAGCAAAAACTAACCTGAGCATGTGGGCAGCATTGAAGACCACATCAAACTCCATGCTGTCGCGTTCGGCCGCTTTTTTTGCCATCTCGGCTGCTTCTACGAGGCGAGCTTCTTCCAGAAGAAACTGACCTGCAAAGTATGAATGCAAGTGAGTTTCAACATGGAAGATAATAATCACATGGAACAATGAAAGCTGTTATAGAGAAAAATATAAGAACAGCGGCAAAGCTGATATGAAGCTAAGATCTATGTGATTTAAGTAACATGAAAATTACTGAAAGAACATAGCTCAGTTTAGCCTTAACTCACTCTTATTAGATTGACTAATAAACGTGGAAGAAATATTAACATGTTCAGATTTCTGAGATTACTTTCATGTCAGTTTTGCAAGGTTGGAATTATCACAGATAGAGCAACACAACTCTTTAAAATTGCACCTCAAGAACTGTTATATAACGCGATCCCAGAATCATATTGTATTTTAGGCAAAGAAAACAACATAAAAGTTAGGCCTAATTTTAAGGCTGTAAATATGCAAACAGAGAGAATAGGCTGCTTTTTTATAGCTAGGGATTTATTAACAGCAAAAGTAATGATGTGAAGCCTTATTTGATATGGATATTTAAATAAAAACCAAGCCAAGGGATGACAAGATATGTAGAAACTATTCATGCAATTCACAGCCTTATAGACTTGTGGTCTAATGATTATTTCTTTCTGCTTTGGGTTTCCTGTTTGCGTAAAGTTCAAGACTTTAACAATGGAAAAAATGTTATAAAAATGATTTGTAAGTCCTGGGCTGCACATAGAAACAGAAAAACTTTAAAAATGGTAAGGCCTTCCCGGTGGCTGTTGGAAGAGCCCATTGTTTACTGCTTATCTAATAAATATTACAAGTTGTCTTCTAACCCAAAAGGATCAGTTCTTAAAATACAAGGGGAAATTTTCTGTTTTAAGGATTTATAATAAACCACAGCCACTGCTTGTAAACATTTCTAAACTTCAATTGGTAAAGAACGGTGTGTAAAGATAAGCCTAGGTATTCAAGCCTACTTTTCAAAAAGAAGTGACAAACTTTTAAGAGCAGGACTTGGAGACCCCTCAGCTATTTCTACAAAAAGTTTTACATCACTTCCTTAGTTTGTCACTTAACATTCTGCGCCTTTCTTATCTCCCAAAACAAACATAATTGTTGGCTCAGAAAATTATTAAGAAAACAGAGTTGTAAATAGTTACATTTATAGAGAAAAACACATTACTTATGAAATTTATGTATATGCTAACTCTACAAATATGTTGATATGAGATTCAGTTTAAAGTATATGTAGTTTTAAAAAACTAAAATAAGAATTAGACAATCTGTGGCATATTGAATAATTAATATCTCTTCATATATATCTTAGCAAAGGATATCAGGCTAAACCAATTCTTCAGTTAGTTAATGCTTATTACAGATTGTTTTTTAATTAAAACATAATGTTAATTGCTACCTGTCTTCAAAGCATGATATTTACCTAAGTAAATGCATTAATAAATATATTACTTAAGTGATATTTAAACAAAGGATAATGTAGGAATTTATTAATTGTTCTCTTTCCTTTCCAGATAGCTATTACCTCTGAAATGTATTCTGTATTAATAGTTAGGAAAATGCAACAATTAATTTAATAATGAAAGTTATTTTCTTAAAATGCATTACTCCAGACTGTAGAGGGAAAATGAGATATATTAGCTTTGGTAAAAAAAAGAAAGAGAAAAAAAGGAAGTGCTATCTATACTGCCCACATAGAGAGAGGGACAGTGACAAGAAGTCTCTGTGATGAAGATGATACTGATGGCATAGGAGGTCAGTTTATAAGCAATGCCCCAGGGCAAAGTCTTTCAAGTATTCTCAATGCTAAATACATCTTGAATGTTCGACAACAACAAAAAGAAATAACATTAGCTAATTGCGTAAAATCAAATATACAATTTTTATCATAATTTAAAAACATTGCTTATGCTTTAAGTAAGCTTTGCCATGCAACATGCACTTTGTATATAGCTTGCAAAGTCCCAAAACTACATGAAACATATAATTTTTATTATTGTAAATGGTGACAGAAAAATTCCCATATGATCATTTTATAACAGAATTTATTCATCATATTAACATTCAGAAAAACAATATCACAACATATTAGTTAATTATTTGCATAATTCCCCCTATTTTGTTCTTGACAGGCCATCTATCTCAATAGTCCAGCATTACTGTTCTACTATGATAAAGGCATAAAATATTATGGAGTATGAATCATTTGCTATCTTTTTTAACTGAATTAGAAAATCTGAACCAAATTTGAAAGTAAATTATTATACTGCTATGTTATACAATGATCGTTTGAAATATAGCCCAGAATTGATGGAAAATAGAGCAATAAGCATTTAAAATACATAGAACCAACATAAAAAAGGGAAACAAAGACATACTAGGTTTCTTCTTAATAACCATCCAAAGAACCTAAATTGGTATGTTATTGGAGGAATAATAAGGAACAAAATTTGTCCTTACTCCTCTGGAAGACCATCTCAAATCACTCCTCTTCCGTCAGCTTCATCTATTATTGCTCCCACCAGACCCAGCCTCCAGCCTCTCTGAACTACTCACACTTCCCTTAGTGTAACCTGCCGCCTCAGATCTTTATTTGTCCTGAACTCTCGGCCTCTAAGGTTTCTCTGCCTTGTCCCACCCCAATCTCCAGTCCTATTTCGCCTACCTGTTGTAACTGGACATCTTTCATTTTAATGACCTAAAACATTTTCTTCTTAGTGAATCCTCTGACTCCTTTCTAATAGTGTTAGAATTGCTTATGATCTAAATTCATTGTAATATAATTTACCATTTAAAACAGAGTACTTAAAAGAGTAAAAGGGAACGGTACCATTAATTAGGCTAGAGCAAGGGAATATAGACCAGAATTGTCCCAATATGACCACGCTACTTACAGCATATGTGGCAGGATGTGGCGCTCAATCCTCTCATCTTTATCACTATTGGGAAGTGAACCATTTACACAATAAGGCATTGAATCATTGCTAGGGAAAGAGATCAGTACTAGCAAGAGAGACACAGGTGCTCCTCACTGAAGAACGTAAAGGTCTATGGTTGCGCCCACCAACACTGAGCCAGAACCTCAGGCTCGGTGGGTAGGAGAAACTACTGGGGCTCCAAGAGTGAGGGTAGGCTACAAGACAGAGCCAGGACACTACGAGGAGTGAAGAGGCTTAGAAAACGAAAGCAAGAAAACTTGAGGAAGGCAGACACTTCGAGGAGTCCATCCACATTGGTGGATTCTACAAGGCCTGAAAGGTTACCTTTCTGGGTGGTTCTCAAGCTTTAGTGCACATCATAATCACCTGGAGGACTTGACAAAACAGAGAGCTGGGCCCCATCTCCAGAGTTTCAAATTTAGTGGATATAGGGCAGAGCCTGTGATTTGCATTTTTAACAAGTTCCTAGCTGATGCTGATGCTGCTAGTCCAGTGTTCACAGTTTGAAAACTAGTGTCTTAGGGGAAGAACAAAATAAATGTTTTGCACCATACTTGGGACTCCATGTCTGGGATTAGCTACCAGCTAGACTGAGCTCTTCTGGTTAATCAACATCATGTGGCATGCCATTCCTTATCTATGGGCATAATGACCAGGTTACAAATATATGTATAGATAGATACATGTGGATGAAAAAGACATACTCATTAAATATGTTTACTCTTTCAAACTCTTAAGGAGATTTAAGAGTTTTGTCCCTCCTATGCAGAATAAATTTCTGAGAAATCACTTCTCTTTCATATACAGTAGACAAACACATTCTTTGTGTTTGATAATTGAGTAGAATTTCAAATAAAGAAACCACAAAAATCTTAAGTAAAATATATTTTGTTCTCATGGGTGTATTGTGCTACCACATTTTATCATTATTTCTTTGCTTTGTAATTTGTCTTAACCAAGTTAATTATCATCATCTTATTTAATTGTCTCCAATCAGAGGAAGAAAAAAACAAAATGAAAAATTGTAAAGAAAAAAAGACATTTGAGTAGGGAAAAACAGAAGAGGCTATAATAAGAGGAAGCATTCTCTAGAGGTCCACATAAAAAGAGTGTAAGTCTCCCCACAGGCTAAAAGGGAAGAGGGAAAAAGCACTCGACAGTTCTGGATTCAACTGTTTCAGCATTAGAGTTACACCATTTCTTCTCTGGACATTTTTTTAACTGAATCATTTAAATTGCTCGGTAGATTTTCACTAACACTTCAATATGACAAGCCTGTAAAGATCAATCTTTCATTAGTTCCTGGATTTTAAAAGCTGTCTGAAAGGTAGAAATCCATAAAAACGTAAGCTGGCCTTAAGCCATAGGCTCAAATACTGCTTTGTAAAAATTCTACACATAAATTCCCTAGATTAGTTGGGACTGGCATTTCTTACTAAAATATTATGAAAAATTCACTCTTACTATCAATGCAACTAAATTAAGGAGCTAAAACAATCTGTAATAGGTGTCATGATGATACAGTTCTCTTTAGGAAAAGTCATTCACATGTAGCTTTAAAAAATGTTCAAAGGCAAATGAAACTCTTATTTATAAAATAACAACTAGAAAATAGCATTTGCATTAAAATAGTTTCCCTTGGAAGAGGACATCAGATTATCAACATGCATGCAGAATTGTCTTACTTCCTCTGACACTACCCTGTCTCAAGCCATCATCTCACCCTGGATTACAGCAATAACCTTCTAACTGTGTCCATACTTCTGCCCTTGACCCTATAGGGTGTTCTCAACATAGAAGTCAGAGTGATATTGTTAAAATGGAAGTCAGATCCTGTCATTCTACAGCTGACTTAGGGAAAGTGAAAGTCATTACACTGGACTACATAGTCTGATATGACCAGCATGGAGTTCCTCCTCCCACCTCCCTACCTCAGTTCTCTGACTTCATCTCCTTTGTCTCCAACTATTAGCCCTCTTGGTCACTTATTCAATCTATATTGGCCTCTTGCTGTTCATCTAGCATATTGGAGGAGCAAAGACTTCTGCTTCTGAGTCTTTTCATTTGCCATCCCTCCACCTAGAATGCTCTACCCCCAG